AGCCACTAACCTCAACAAGATAATTTTTACACGTATCCTACTGAAGTTACTGACAAAACCTGCTTTTCTCGAGTCTCTTGTATTCGTCATAATTACTGTATAATTATACTTTATTTATAATTAACCTTAAGTTTTACATTGATAGTATTGATCGACTTTATCGATCGATTGACTGCAAAACGTTTGTCTGTCCGACCGTGGTCAACGCTAGCGGCTCAACCGTTCAGCCGATTTTCTCCAAAGTGATATTGCCCGATCGATTTGAATGATCTCGAGGCTTTGGGAGTCTGAAACGGATATTTAGATTTGGTAGGGTACTACTTTACGTGAAGCGAGTATTTACGTTTTTAAGCGTCTGTCCGAGTTGCGTCCATACGTCGCTTCTGTGGCATGCTGGTACGAGTGACGGCGAGTAAACTCTGAGGATCTGAGTTGGGGTCTCGTAGCGGAAAATAATTTTGCGGATTTATGTTGTAGAATATAGCGGAGCTGTTAGGAATAATGCAAGTCAGTATGTGCTTTTGCAGCTCCACTAGTTTTCTTCTTTCCGTCATGTTCTATCTAAAGTTGTTTTTTGCAAATACTTCGCGCAAATAAACACGTCTCCTGATTAAGCAAGAATCCGAGTGTTAATTATTTAACAATGTCAATAATGGGTTCACAATAGTTGTTATTAAGCATCATATAGTCAAACTTGAGCGTCGAAAGATAGGAGGGAAGGGGAGAACAGTTACCCTGTTTTAGCCAGAGGTAGCGTTTTTCTGCGCGTTCTACACCCTCAATCATTTTTTAAGAAAATTAAAATGAACATAAATATATTGAAGGAAAGTCAACTTTAATTTAGTATGCAGTGGTTGTTTCAATAAAACGCATACTTCTGAAGGTATGAGCGAAAAACTCAAAAAAAGGCAAACATTTTAGTTTTATTTTGCGATTTCCTCTGAGAGGCCGATTATTTTGCAGTGGTAAACATAAAATTCGAATTCAGTACGTCCAAAAACATATAGAACTGTTGGGAAAAAAACTTCCGTAATATTTTTCTGCGTCAGGTACGTAACTTGATTGATTGTGATTCCGGGCGCGTCAACTACTAAGGGCATTATTCCCTTAATTGTAGTGCATGTTTACCCGGTTGAATTCCCGCGCTGTATGACGCGATCCGGCGGCAGCCTACCGTCCGCGAGCGTTGGTTTCCCCAACCAGGTATCTTCCGCCAGCTGGGCACCGCTCCATCCGGGTCTAAGCTCCCGACTAGTCTTCCGCTATGCTTAGTAGTACATTGCGTCTAAGCGTGTGTAAGATGTGCGGATATGAGAAGTAAATATCGCGCGCGGACCGTGGCCCGTTTGCTCAGGTACAGATTAGCCTGGAGTTGAAGGGGAAAATACCGATCAGAGCAGCCGTCTTCTAAAATTCTCTAGACAGCTACTGAATTCGACCTAGCTGGACAAGGTAGTGTGGTGTGGAAAATTCTGGCAGCATGGGGAGTGAAGTTGTAGGACCTCCTGGTCAGAAGAACTGTAGTGACATCAGTTGATGCCCTGAGCCATCTCTCCCGGTCAGATACCTAGTGACTGAATGCGACGGCAGTCCCGTGCCTGCGAGTCATGCAGCGGAAAACATCGTCCCTCGCATGACACTAGAAGTCATCAAGTTATATTTATCGTGTGAAATTGCGTAATAATGGCTACCTACTGAGGTGCCATTCACAATAACCTATAGATAAATGAACAGCAATTGAAAAATGCGTCCGAGTTTCAAGACATCGAATGACAAAACAGAATTGCTATTTAATATTGAGATATAAGGTATTCCCAAAGAAAAAGGAGACTAGTGTGATATGGAATGAAACTTTAATGCCGACATGCTAATTACATTTGATGTAAAATAGTAAATCTATAAATAATCACCATTTACATTGATTCACATATCCCTGCGTGTAGAAATGAGCGGATGGCTTTCGTGAACAAATTTCTGGGTTGCTGACAGATCCACTGTGGATGTGGCTTGCACATCCTTTTCGGAGGTGAATCTCTGACCTTTTAAACAAAATTTAAGGGACCAAGATATAGGAGTCTCATGGGGAGATATCGGGGCTGTAAGACGGTCGTACAGGACCTCCCAGCGAAATTTTGCGGGATGGATAAACGCGCCGTTCCTTTCCTTATCCAAACTTCAACAGTAATTGCACTCTGCATCCGACAATCCTTCCGTGTGAGCGCTTCCACCAACCAATCGTGGCATTGTTGGCCTCAACGTGCGTCTGGCCCGGGCGTGCCAAGGCATAGATGATGACGCGTCCCGCCGCATAAATCCGACACCTCCGGCATACGATACAGTGCGAGACACCGCTCGACATACAGCTCGTGCATCTTTCGATAAATTCGGGACACATGCTGCCCTTCTGCGCGGAGAAATTGGATCACCGCTCGGGACGCTCCCGTTATGCAACGAACTTCGGAAACAACGCAACCGAACTGAGGTAATCACCTCGACGTCCTTCTCTCCGCCTGTGCAACAGAGGCAAACACCGCGCCATCTATCGGCTACTACGTTTACGTACGTTAATAAACGCCTTTGCGGCTACGGTCTCCTTTTCTTTACGCACACACACACTATATATATGTATATATATGTATATATATATATAGCGCAACGCATTTAGAATGCAGAAGAGACGAAATTATTATGACGGTGACTGAAGAGAAACAAAGAACGTGAAGAGTGCCGAATGTTATGCAAAAGGACAAGTTGGTAAAGTTTGAAAAGAATAACTAATATTATTATCTTCTTTCTTCATCGATGTGACAGTGATTGCAATGTGGCGTTTGCAGTGTAGAGTTGGGACACGTATGTTTTATCTTCCAGAAATTGTGATCAAGTGCTATTACTTCGTGACGTTTTATACCACTCTCGGTGTTACGAATTGGCTCCATACGAACATATCTTCCTCGCCCTTTGTTTGCCATTGAGGGCCCTCAATGCGAGTGTGCTGGCGAGAAGGGGAGCTGTGCCTTTACAGCCTCTCCTTTCCCCGACGGCGATCAGATCACGGCGGCCTGCCGCTGCACGGAGCTGTGTAAGGGGATGTCACGAGGGGTGAAGGATGGAGGGAGACGAATGGTTGGTGGCGAGGACGTGCAGAGGCGGACGCGTGGTGCTGCGAGGTGACTCGAACCCGCAACCTTCAGCTCTGCAAGCGGGGGCTGCCCCTGCCCCTGAGGGTCCGAGGCCGCCAGAAACACAATCAGGCGACTTAAGAATACCGTTATAATAATACGTTATAATAGCTAAATCTAAATTGACATACACTACTCTTTTGAATACTATGAAAACGAAACATTCATTTCATTAATACGCGAGCTCAATCATAGTAAAGCGCCATTGCCAGTGGATATCAAAAAAATCAGTTCAGTAGAATCGCGTTAATCCGAACCCCGCAAATGCGAAATTTCGGATTATCCGAACAAGATTAAGAGTGGAAGAAAAAATAAACAAAATTCTTTTTTGTAAAGGAAAGAAAGGATTTTATGATTACTGTAGAACTGAAGTACTGTTTTGTAGTACTTTTCTCATTGTCAAGTCACTTAAGCACCACCAATTTTTCTTTTAATGTACTAGAACTATGTTTTCGTTTGCTTGACTGTACGTGTAACACCTGATTTGTATTAATTTATAAAAGAAGACGCACGAACACTGTAAGACTACCCAATTTATTGTGAATACACGTACACGTAGAATACTCGTTAAAAATACGTACACAAACTGGACTTCAACTCTTCTAACTAATGTAGCCACCACTGTCGCATGCCATTGGTTATGCATGTACCGTACTCTATTGCCACTTCATCATGTCGCTACGTTACGTTGCCGTTTTCTTACATAGCATATTACGATATGTCGCACTGTGACTAGTAATCCTACAGATGTATTTGTATACGTACAGTACATTTTTTCAGATAATCCGGACATTTCCGAATCAGAACAGACCACACCGTCAATTAGTTGGGAATGCCGGGCTTCTACTGCATTTCAACTTGGGATTAGAGAGCGCGGCCTGGAGGCGCCGTCCGAAGGTCAGTGGAAGCGCCCATCGCCGCCGCCGCCGCCGCCGCCGCCGCGCGTGGAACGCGGAAGAGGAGGCCCGGGGAAGCGAAGCCGATTGGGTCTATTTCGGGAGGTCGTCCGCGATACGCGCTTAACACGCTTACAGGCGCTTCCTCACGAGATACACGGAATGGCGCAAGTAGTTTACCAGAACAAATAAATATTTTCAAAAAACAATGTGTTGTGTGTAGTCTGAAAAGCAGCAACGAAGATGTTGTAGTAATTGTTTTTAATGGACGTTAATTTTACATTCCTTCCCTATTTGTAATTCCCTTTGCACTCTGTTTAGGGTTGCAGTGAACAGTGCTTCACTGCAGGACTTTAAATTGTTCCTAAACACCTGCACTCTCTCATCTGTACAAATAACTTCGCTCACTGCCAATGATGCAATAGCTTTCCGTCATCAGACCGCCCTAGTTTCGGGTTTTACTAGAAACTGAAGGAATCCTACATTTGGACGAATCATTATCTAAAAAGTGTCTCGAATACATACGTTTTATGTCGGGAATCTCAATAATACTTCCTCTCTAAGCAAATAATTAATAATACATTTCGGTGACATAGTAAAATAAGGAAATCAGTTGATATCGAATGAACACAGACACACCTTTCTTTTCCAACAAGTACGATAGACTGACGGGAGAATGAAATCTTCACGGACGACACGGCAATAGGAGCCAAATAGTATTTCTAACAAGACGCATACCGTACTTTATTTCGGAATAGAAATTCATAGAAATGTTTAAACATGTAGAATTAAGACGATTCTCAATAAGTGAGTCGACAGCCATGTTGATTCATAACGCTGCAACGTTATGTTTACGTTCTCAAAACCGGTTCTCTGCCGTACGCAAGGCGAACGGCGAGCGAGCGGAAGTAGGAGTGGAGAGTACCTGCGCGGGGAACTCGTGCGCGGAGGCGTTGACGCCGCCGAAGATGCGCGCGTGGGCGGGCAGGCGGAAGGCACCCGCGTCGCGCAGCGCGCCTCGGCCCCGCACCCGCCCGGCGCCGGCGACGCGCACGCCGCGCCACACCCGCCACCCGCCCAGCCACAGGCCCAGGCACGCCGGCCGCTCCTCCGCTCGCGCTCGCCATGGCTGCACTCCGCTGCCGCTCCGCTCCGCATCGCCGCAGAGCGACTTGCCGCCTCCGCCCGCCGCCGCCGCCCCCACCGGCCCCCCCGCCGCCGCGCGCACGCACGCTCGCACGTCGCGGCCGGTTTAATGTGGGCATTGTTCTCTTCCCAGGCGCAGCACGCGCCGGCCTGGCCTCCACCACGCTCGCACGCCGCGCTTCCAGTCCAAGCCCCACGGCGCCGTTGCTTTCGGATGCAGCGCTCGCCTCCCACACGGAGAATGAAAACACGCGGAGAATCACACAGACGTGGAGACAAGAGGTTTCCTTTCTTGAGTACATAAGCTTAAGAGCCTTAGCCTGCAAAACTCTGTGTATCCGAGACAGGAGCTCTTTTAATTGATTTGCTGATTTGCAGCAGTTCCTACGTTTGGAAGAAAGGCGTAGTTACCATATTTGAACACAATTACTATTTTAACAAGATATTCCACTGTTGCACAAAGTGATTTAGTAATATACGAATATTACTGTATATATTCAGTTCTGTGGAAAATTTTGTTAATTTTGTGTTTTTTTTGTTTTTTTTCGCGTGTTGGCTAACTCGGACCACGCGTGCATCCTGCTTCAACAGGTGCATGTGTCATTATATTGGGGAAGGGGGAATCAGCATTTTAGCTGAATGTCCATTTTTATTCCCTAAGGTTGTTAGCTCTGGGGGTATAAATGATGAGATGATGATGACGGTCAGGGATAAAAGTTCAGTACACATATAGACATACTCAAATACATCCATGCCAGAGACGGAACTCGAACCCACTGTCCTGTTCCGATACCTCTACGGCACTACTGCCCTAATCTCTCGGTCGTATTGACCGGCAAATGTGTTAATTATGGTAAAAACAAATTTAAGTTACTCTTGGCATACCTTAATCACACAAGACGGCCGCTAGTCCTATTCCGTGCTTTGTAAATTTGTCTTTTGGTTTTCTCGTTCTGTATTGTCGAGCAGCTACATTTCATTTGACTACTTTCTCATTGTGGTGCTTGTCACAGCTGAGAACCCTGATCTCCCGGAGGAGCCCACGAGGGAGCAGGAAGTGCTCAGGGAGGCGCTCCACGTCGCGAGCTGTGAGGCGGGTGGTGAGCGCGCGGTGGCTGAGGTGGACGTGCTGGCAGTCACGCAGCTTCAGAAGGAGCCACCCACCCACTCCATTACAACGATCAGATCAGATTTTTGATTAATAGACGTGTGTGTAATGGGTATCGTAACAGCCTCAGATCACCCTCCGAGGTTCACAACAAACGAGTGCTACCACACTCAAGTGATTTCGTGACATTGCGTTGCACTCTAGAGATGGGAACAACTTTAATTATTTTTATTATTATTAATATTATTTTATTGTTATTTACACCTCAATCCCTGAGCAGCATCCATAAATTGTCCAGATTTATCTAATCACAATAAACATTACGGGCATGATTTTTGACTCTAATTACAGTCATTTATATCATTTTGCATGAATGTGACAATTTCACTTATTAACGTGATGATAGTATTTTGTAGCAACCTCCATAGGAGTTCAAAAAAATATGTTTCCTTGAAAATTTGATGGATGCAAGGTCTCTTAGATGGCTTCAGTATTCGACATTAGAATAAGAATCAATCGTATCGATCGTTTTGATCATTCCATTGTTCTCTGACAGACCCTGAGAGACCCTCATAATTAGTATTTCAGCTATAGATTGGAAGAGTTAAGAATCGATACATACTTAACATCGAATAGCCTGTTTTCTTTGGAACGTGACAGTATCATGTTGATTACTGATGACTGTTCTGTCTGTGAGAATCGTCTGTCCTGTTCTGTTATTAATATAATTTTACATTTCATTTCCTAGTCAAAGTTGTAAGTTTTAACAATTACATGTGAATATATTTCTATTCCTTGACTAAGTAAAATCTTATACTCTTAATCTTAATAAGAATAAGTAAATCTTTTGCTCAAAATATGGGCTATTCCCCTTTTCAGTGATTTGAACATTTTGAACAAATTCTTACGTACAATTTGTTTCATTAAAGAACTCAAGTTTTAACATCAGTTCACGGCGAAATGCACTTCTACAATGGATTTTGTTTATCAAACTCTCAAAACTACACGGATCTTCGGTAACTTCCTCGACCTTTAGAAACTGACGGTTGGAAGATCGGAGCTAAGGATCACTTTTTCCCCTAAAATAAAGACTCTATTACACATAATTTTATATTAATACATTTATTGTAATTATAAAATTCATTGAATAAGTAAACATTTTTATACAAATTTGTTTAGAATTTTGATAAAATTATGTCATTTCCCCCTTATTTTTAAGTCATTTTTGCCTTTTTTAAGTCATTTTCTAGGTCATTTTCAAAGCATTTAAGGTTATCAGAATCCTAGCCTTGGTGATGTGTGTGAGGGGGAGATTTGAAAATGGTGCGCGCGTGCGTTTTGGAGGCTCCCCTCGAAGCAGAACGCGTAAAGGGGGCTCCACACATGCGGCATGCGGCGAATCCCGAGTAGTGTGGACGGGCCGAAAATTCGGTATTCACCGTACCCATCGCGTGTCGGTCTTTAGGACACATCAAAGGGAGCGAACATTCGCCGAAAACATAAGCTGTTCGGGATTGGCCGAGTAGGAGCTCGCTACTCGGTGAATGCCGAATGTGTGGAGCACGTTTTATCGAAAGGTTCGAGGCTAGTCTTCGGCATGACATCGCCCCTAGTAGAGAGGGGCCGAGATAGATAGTTGATAATACATACAACTGAGGAAGATGTCGACCTGACTAGTGAAGTAGTTAGATCTCGTGCCTGGAGTGTAGTAGTATCTACTGCTTCCGTTGTAGTACCTGGTGTTGTGTAGTGTAGGAGAGCAGTGAGCTGCGCTGTACTTAGGAACGTAGACTGGGTACAAAAACTGTGCTGCATACACTGTTTACTCCGATATGATTGTTGAACTGGTTTGTAATAGTATAAGTTGACCTGGGATATTGTAAACGAACGCTCAATAAACTGTTGAACTGTTTATATTATGTACATCCGTTTCGCTATATACTTCTACTATAGATACATTTTACTTAAGCTTAATGTGTTCCGTTCATCTCGTATTTCAATCCCAATAAAGCATGAAATTAAAACTGTATTTTTTTATCATTTTTTGCCTTTCTTCAATTTCATATGGCGTTATATGTAAAAACGAAGTAGCTCCCAACACCCATGGGGAGGCCGGTCCGGCCAAGATTTGTTGAGGCAGTAGTGCCCTAGCAATCTCGGCCCGAAGATTCGAGAATTCGAGTTCCGCCTCGGGCATGGTTGTATTGTGTTCTTTCACCCCCCTATCATCACCATATCATATCATCTTCACAGTTACCGTACCGTTAAATACAATAGTGATCGCTTTTGGCCTACCTGTTAATGCGACCTTAAATTTAAAAAAAAAAAACGATGGGCCGTCCATCTCCACTGGGCAGAATTATAGCTGTTTTATATCACAGTCGTTTAGCAGATTCCCCGTAAAATGAATTTACTGGTAAGCAAAAAATAGAGGTTTCACTTTAACTGCCTTCAGAATGCACTTACGTCGTCTTGCAGAAGATTGCACACGTTTTATGACTCATTAAATCATATGACCCACATCAGCAATTAAGCGGTATTTCGCAGCCAATTCCTCTATTGCCAGAGGGGGGAGAGTACGTACAACACATCAGTGAGCGGAGATGACGTCTCATTCAAGGACAGAAGGCTTTTCGATTTTTTTCATAATAAGTAAACGAACAGAAATAATAATTCTCAAGACAAAATTATCAAGGTGAATGTCTATGCGTAAACGCGTATAATATTACCTTACGTCCCTTTTTATTAATGCACTAGTGGACCCGGCAATACTTACCTACTGCAGAGTATGACACATCACACACTACTGATCACGTGCTTCTTAATCACGTTTTAAGCTACGCTGTACAAAAATTCTAATAGATGAAAACTTTCTCGCAAATAGTTCTACGTCCTGATCAAGGATACTTGAGTTTTGTGCGACACACACATACGGTTACTATGGGCGACTTTTATTTATGATATACAAATATTATAAATATCATTCCATTCGGAACACAAAGGAAAATAGCTTATGTATTTGGATGAAGATTTATTTTGTCAGTAAAATTTATAGTATTCAAGAGGAAGAAATACACAATCGGGATCCTTCCCCACTCTTAAGCATACAAAAGGTTTGAACGGATGAATTAAAGTTCCCGAGAAGAAGTTTATTAGCATTGGAAAATAAATATGTTGGACTTATACTCCGACTTGTGGGAAATTTGTTTAAGCCCCTTGCTTCGTCTGTTATAGTCTTCATCTGTCTCTCTCTCTCTCTCTAACCCTGTCTTTTTCCTACTATATTCCTTCTCTCTATCCTCTCCCTCTTCTTTTCTCCTTCTGTCTTTACCTACTTTATGCTCTCTTTTCCAATCATTTTCCCCCATTTTCTCATTTTTCCCGTTATTCCCTCTCTCTCTTTTTTCCTATCTTTTCCTTCTATTTTCCATATTATTTTCCCGTCTCTCTTTTTCTCACTTCTTTCCATCGCTCGATCATTATTCTATTATTCAGTCTCTCTCTTGTTCCCTCTTCTTTTCCCTGTCTCTGCTTCCCCTCTCTCCTGCATCCCATGCTTGCCTCTCCTTTTTGTTCCCTTGAACTGTCGTGGCCACACGGCAACGTCCAGCTTTAATCAACACTGTGGATTGGAAATTCATTTAATTCAGCACATCTAAATGATTTCAGTACATCTAGTGGAGATAATAAAATGGAAAGCGGATAAAACTTGTTCATGAACAAACACGTGTATGTATGAACATTGGTGGTCGATGAAAACGATGTCATGTTTATAGATCTCGAAAATAGAACATCGTTATATATTTACTCTTCTGGGCTATCCCCGCCTCTACATCTTAACAGAACTAAGCAAAAGAGAGAAGAGTCAACTAAACTTGCGTATATATGAAATTATGAATGCATATATTCAGTAAATATTTACATATATTATATATATATATATAATATATATACATATATATATATAATATATATATATATATATATATATATATATATATTATATATATATAATTGTGACCGTACTTGGGAAACGGTACTTTCACGACAAATAAAATATATAAAGGAGGGTACATTTTCTGAATGGGGTCTCCAGGGGAAATTGACGCTGCATTGGATAGAATATTTCAAAGAAATTACATTTATGCAATAGAGGTTTTAATAACCTAACTGACGACCTATATACATTAAGTTTTTACAATTGCAGTGCGCAAGGCTTTAAATAGTTCGTGCACGAGTAACGCTACTTTGAAGGCTTCCGATGTCCACAGGGCTGACTGGAGGCGAGCGTGGGCGCCGTGGAACGGCGGGGGCGCTCTCTTGCGCTAGAATTATCATCAACGCCTCTTCTACAGACCTCGAGAGTGTAGCGAGAGACCACAAGCTTTTATTGTCAGCATACTCTTAAGTAAACAAGGCTAAGTATGTCAGTATTGCGCGGTGTACTCGGGCCTTCTTGAGCTCATGGTTTTTTTTAACTTTACAACTCTCAGATCTGGACTGTTGACAACTCTGGAATCGAGCTGCCAATTTTATTATGCATCGTTTAATATCACTGCATCCTCATCTCAATAATCGATCTTTGTGTGATCGTTTCTAAGAGAGGAATATGGAGGGCTTACGATAGTTAGCTAAATAATACACCGCTTGTACTCTCAATGTAAGAGATTAATGAGGAAGTAAGTCTCGTGGGTAATTGTATGAGTATACTACTATTAAATAGTACTACATAGATCTGTATATCACGTAGTATAGTTCGCATGATACTATGCTGAGGTTCGCACTAATATAGCTATTCTCTATAACTCACTCACTATTGATAATTTATATTATATAGCACCTCATAATCTCCCAGCTACAGGAAATAAGCATATAAATTCAGGCAATAATACACATATATATTGCAGCTGTATGGTGATAACTTCTCAAACACAGATTATCTTGAAATTTCTGTGTGCGGGCATCTAGTATTTGATAGTTGCTCGACTGCAAGCCGCCCAGTTGTGCTGCTAGTCTCTACCTGATGAGTGTTTCATATCAAGAGACCGACACGCAGAGCCCATGATCTTTCTATGGTGTTCCTCACGCGATGCACTCATATGACGCGCAGATCGAAGAAACACTCGAGGACGGAAATGCGCCTACTGTCGTCCGACGCGCTCGCGTGTCGAGGTTTCGATTCACTGCACCTCGTCTCCACTGGCATCAGACACTACCACGCGAGCCGGTGTGCGTGCCCTACTGCCTGCCCGCCGCCGCCACCACCCCGCTTCGCTCGGCTCGCTTGTCCTCGCGATCACTGTCAACAGCGCCGCGTCACGCTCCCGCAGCATGTCGCGAATGCAGCATCGCCTCCGATACAGCTTATTTCTTTGCCGCGTTGATTGTATTTGGCGTTGTACTCGCTCTGTTAGAATAGGGTAACTTGAAATTGCTGAGAGAGGCTTTGTCTTCAGTGAGTAACAACATCTCGAATAATCTCTTCTTCCTCTCTCTCTCTCTCTCTTATATATATAATATAGTATATATATATATATATATATATATATATATATAAT